CCACTATGTATATCTTCTAGAAACAAGTCTTCGAATTCTTACAACAACAATTTGCCAAACTAGGGATAGATGTTTTAGCTTCCTCAAAATTGAGGAGTGAATCCTTATAAATCAATGAGAACATGTGTCGACTCTCAACTACTACCATCTTCAATTCACTCCCTTTTACAAATAAATTTATTTTCAACTTTTCTCTCCTTTCATAAGACTATTTTTCTTTATTCTCTTGTTGTTGTACTCTTTTTTCCTCAAAATTAAGGAGTGATTCCTTATAAACCAATGAGATCGAAGGTCCCTTACTTTTTCTCCCTTATTTCTTGTTGTGAAAGATCAATCTCGCTCTCCTTTTCTCTCAATCTTTTTTCTTCCTCACTTTTTAATTTGATTTGATCTTCCTACACTTGTGCTGGTGTTAACAGCCAAAAGTAATAGATTTCCCATTCTTAGTAAACTCTATACCTATTTTTGTATTCATCATGCATCATCTTTCTATAATACAATCATGGTTTTCCCAATAAAATGTGAGCGACATAAATATGAACTACTTTACATGTCACTTCATCATGATATCTCTCAATTCAAAAACTCATTAAAACTTACCTATTCACCTCAATCTCTCCACATTCATTCAACCATTGCAATTTGTAAAGCCTAGAATTTTTTAGCATGGTTATTCCCAATTTCTCAACAAATGTAGTGCTATCCATATTGGTATAACTACTCCCATCAATAATCATACTACATACCTTGTTGTTGATATGACATCTAGTGTGAAATATGTTCTCCCCTTGTTACTCCAAGTCATCTACCTTGATTTGAGCAATAAGAGCTCGCCTTGTGACTAACAGCTCTCCCACAACATACTCCCCTTTCTCACCATCACTAGCATTCTTCAAGTTCAACATGTCTTAATAATCACCCTCACTATCGCTCACCACTTTATCATTATTTCACAAAATCATCACCTTTTTGTTCGGACATTAAGATACAATGCATCCCGATCCCAAGCACCTAAAATATTTGATATCCCAATTCTTAATGGGTTGGGAATCTACCTTGATTGTAGCTTTGCTAGCAACTTCCTCTCTTCTTTTTAGTAGTCAGTCCTACCCTTTGAAACAGTCCCATCACCTTTATTGTTGTCCTACTTCAGCCTCCACATAAAGTTAGAACCTGAAGAACCTGATTTAGCTATTCCCTTCCTCTTCAACTGTCACTCCACCTTCATAGTTTTATGTAGCATATCCTCCAACTCCATGTAATGTTGTAGTTCTACAACGTTAGCTATCTCTCTATTTAAACCATTAAAAAATTGGGCCGTGGTGGCTTCCCAATCCTTTTCAACATTTGCTCTAATCATAGCAATCACCATCTCCTTATGATAATCCTCCACACTCCTATATCCCTAATAGTGGCTTCGTAATTTTTAATAAAGATCCCTATAGTAATAATTAGGGACAAACCTCTTTCTCATGATAGCTACAATTTTCCACATGTTTCAATAGGCCGCTCATGGTTTCTTCTCCTAGAATTTAGTACTTGATCTCACCAAGCGATAGCATAATCAATAAAACCCAACGGCAATAAGTTTTACCTTCTTCTCCTCCAAGTAGTTATGGCAATCAAATGTAAAATCTATCTTTTTTTCCCTCTCCAAATATGCCTCCGAATTGCTCTTTCCTTTGAATGATGGAATGGTCATTTTGATATTGTCCATAATCCTATCAACGTCATTTCCAATATACTCTCTAGCCCGTCAATCAAGCCCATCTCACCTATTCCTCGTCTTTCTTAGTTTCGTCTCTGCCAATGCATCATCATCAATCCCACTATCCATCTTATTTTCACCTCCAATTTCTACCTTAGGCTCCCACCTACCGTACCTCCTCGCATTAAAAATCCTCTAGGTTGTTCTCTATGTAAATTAGCAATCAATGTGTCTTGCCTATCCAATTTTTTCCCATATCTCAGAATGGCTTTAAAAACGTCATATCGTCCTTTCCATCATGATGCCTTGATTATTCTTCCCGCTTGAATTAGAATCGTCTCTGTTAGCTATCCTAAATCTAAAATGATATTTGCTTCACGTATGTACACTCATGTATTACTCAACCTGGCTTTTACCCTTTATTAGTCTCATCGCTGTGACTTTTCTTTCAACTCAATGCTTCTTTACAAGTACTTCAAAGAAATAATTCGATCTCAATCATTGTGGAGTTCAAACAAATAATTAAGTAAGGAAAATTTAACTATAGAATAACTCAAGAAGCAGGAGTTGACATTCGAATGGAACACTAAAGATAAAATTTAATGATATGCTCATTATATCCAAGCGTTAAGCAGAGTCAGATAGGTGAAATCTCAACTTAGTAATAAGTTTGAGATAAAGGATTTGGGTGTAGAAAGAAAATTCTAGGTATGAAAATCTTGAAGGATATAAAGATTGACATATTGTATTTGAGTCAGAAGGGGTACATTGGGAAGGGGTTTCAAATGTTCAACATGCTGGATACTAAAGTTGTCAGTATTCCCTTGGCTGCTCACTTCAAATTATCATCTAGATTATGCCCTCAATCAAATGAAGACATTGATTATATGACTCGGGTTCCTTATTCCAATGCAGTCGATTTGCTAATGTATATTATGGTTTGTACAAGACTAGATTTGGCATATGCAGTCAAAGCAGTTAGTCGACACATGACAAATCCAAGCAAGGAACATTGAAAAGTAATACAATAAATATTCAGATACTTGAAGGGGTTAACTAATGCTTGCTTGCATTTTAATAGAAATATAGATGAAGTCATTGGGAATGTGGATTCAGATTATGTAGTGGATCTTAATAAAAAGAGATCACTTATAGGCTATTTGTTTACACAGCACAGCCGAAAGTTACTTCGCGAAATACAGTAACTTTGTCTAAAACAGAGGCCGAATATATGGCTATTACAGAGGCATGTAAGGAAGTTATGTGGTTAAAGGGTTTGATTGGTGAAATCAATGAAGACTTGCAGATTTCTACAGTATATTGTGATAGTCATGGTGCGATTTTTCTGACTGAGAATTAAATATTCTATGAGAGGATTAAACACATTTTATGTAAGGTATCATTTTATGCATGAAGTGATTGCTCATGTTGATATTGTAGTGAACAAGGTTGATACCAAGGATAATCATGTTGATATGATAACAAAATTACTTTTCATTGCCAAGTTTAAGCATTGCTTGAACTTAGTTGGTGTTTGTCATTGATTTAGTCCATTGGGACTTGTTTGGAAGATGAGTGGTGTTTGGAATTCCTTATATTAGAATTTAGTTCAAAGTGGAGATTTATTGTCATGTGACTCAAATTCTACTGGATATTCATACAACATCTTAAAAGTTTTAGATCTTGTTATAAACACAATTACTATTGATTATAGTGGATTTCTCCTCCCTGTCCGTGATTTTTCTCCGTCTTGGGTTACTACGTAAATTTTAGTGTTCTTTATTTTGTTCTTGTTTATTTCATTATCATTGTAATCTTCCGGTTAAATTCGCAACAAGTGGTATCAGAGTGATTCTGGCATCTTGTTTGTTCATATCAATCTTCTTGGGCATCTTTGACAACTTGAACTCCTTAAAGACCTATATTATCAATCACAATTATTTTGACTTTAATTATGACTCAATTTTAACTCAACTAACCTAGATTTTGGATACGGATAAAGCTAATTACAATTAGGACTCTAACACGTAGCATTTTGTTATTTGAGGTATTAACTTGTCATCCATTAATGTCTCAACTAGCAAACTGACGCATGGAATGACGACAACTTTTGACTATAAGTAGCATTACATTTTTTCAAAATCTATAGCAATTTTTCACCTTCTTAACTAAATAAATGTTTGTAATCCACAATGAACGGTACAATTGCGGAACCTCATGGTGTCACTTTATAGGCAGGACTTTGACTAAATTTACGGGAAAAAAATAAAAATAATTATGATTTATGATTTAAAGCATTGTCTAATATTGTGCGCTAAATTTTCCGCACAGAAGATGCCCCTTGCAGCCATCAGCAAAATACAAAGTGTAACAGTAGGTTGTTTCTTTCTTACCTAATGCCACAATAAATGACTATTTATTACACCATCCAACAACTCATTCATATCTGCTGCAATTAATATTCACATATACTCCAAGTTGTTTCATTTTACCAATTGAACTAGCCCTTCGTTCCAAACAGGACCATGTTTGGCTAAATTAAGTAAAAGTTACTCGTAAACGACTTTCATTTTCCAACATGTTTTGATAATTTATGAATTTCTTACTTTTAAGTAAGTGTGAGTGACTAACACTTATTAGTATTATAAGTAACTTATTTTTAGTTTCGTATCTTTTGATAATAAAATGAAAATCACTAATGCTTTCCATCATTGATGAACAACAATAATGTTATAGTTACTTTGTTCAATAAAGTTGAAATATATTTTGCTAATTGCATAATGTGACATTTAGGTAAATAAAGAACGAGACGAATGCAGAGGTTAAATGAGCATCCCACGACCAAAAGGTACCGTACATAGGTCTTCCATGAAACACCTAGTAACTAAGGTAAAAGACCTAGAAAAAACTCCCATTTTGTATCGACTCCAAAAGAGCGATGACAGGGGAACTGGCAATTGAATCTTCGATGGACGACAATTGTAACTATAATGATCTTAAAGTAACGAATTTTCTTATATACAGTCCATAGGTTGTTCATGAAGACCAACATTATTGAAAGAAAGATTACTTTTTACTTGTACATAATCTTTAAGAGATAAATATGTTCTTAACCCTCTCCCCCATTCTCCCCATCTAGGTTAAGCCAAGTCAAGCCAAGCCAAGCCAAGCCATGAAGTGAGAAGTTCAGAAGCCGAAAAGTTGGAACAAGGATAATAAAAAATGGTTTATTGCGTGAATATCTCTTGCTGAAGTTTGAAAACACTAAAGTTAAATACCCCAAAAATACCCATAAATAAGGCCCCGAAACCAAGAGTGTAAATGTGATACCAACCTTAGGTGCCAGTCTCTCTCTCTCTCTCACTCCGAAACAGAGGAACCAGTGTCACCAGATAAGTTTTTAATGTGTACCCACCGCCCCTAAACACACGCTCTCATTGCGTCTTCTGAGAGACTGAAACTTTGTTTGTTAAACCTTCTTTGCTCAGTGCGGTTCAGCCCCATTTGTTTGCACAAGTAAACAACAGAGAAGAAAGAAACTCACTTTTGTTTTGCTGCTTCTTTGTTCTGTATAATATAATTCAAATCTCTCAGTTTTAATTGTTCTTTTAGTTGTAGCCCTCCTATCTGCTCTCTCTAAGATCATTGCATAAAATGAGTAAAGAGGAGTTTTTGAAGATTCAGGTAATTGTTCATTTTCCCCAGTTGTATATGCTTCTTGTATAGCTTTGCTTGTTTTGAACTCAATCTTTGACTGCCTTTTTCTTTATCTTTCAGAGCAATTTTTTTTTCTTATTTTTTTGGTTTTTATGAATGATGAAGTTGTGAACTTTATCTGTCTTTGCTTGTACATGCAGACTTGTGTTCTTAAAGTCAATATACACTGTGATGGCTGTAAGCAAAAAGTGAAAAAAATCTTGCAGAAGATTGATGGTATAGTACATTTAATTTAATTTTTCTTTTGTAGAATTATAAGCTGTTAGTTTACTTGTTGTGAATAACTATGTTTTTGAGAAATTTGGCTTTGTTCCAATATTTGACTGAATTTTCTAAGCAAGTTTCCCTTTTGTGGTGTGTTTTTAGGGGTTTATACCACAAAGATTGATTCAGAGCAGGGGAAGGTGACAGTATCAGGAAATGTTGACCCAGCCACACTTATCAAGAAGCTTGCTAAGAGTGGGAAACATGCAGAGATATGGGGTGCACCCAAGCCCAACAACAATAATCAGAATCAGTCCAAGAATATGCAAATTGACAATGGAAAAAGAGGGAATAACAAGGGGCAGGGTCAAAAGGGTGGTGGTAACAACCAGCCAAAGGGTGGTCAAAATCCACAGCTTCAGCAACTTCAGCAGCTTCAACAAATGAAAGGATTACAATTGCCCCCAGATTTTATGAAGGATATGAAAATGCCCCTCATTAATAAGGAACAGAATCCTAAATCAGTCAAGTTTAACTTGCCTGAGGATGAAGGTTTGACTGATGACGAGTTTGATTATGAATATGACGATGATGATTTTGATGATGATGAGTTTGATGATGAAATTATTGAGCCTGTGAAGAAGCCCATCATGGGTAATGGTCATGGGGGTGCCCAGATGCCGAACATGATGAATATGATGAAGGGTGGTGCTCTTAATGGTGGTAATAATGGAGGAAACGGTGGGAATGGGAAAAAGGGGGGCGGCGGCGGTGGTGGAAATATACCGGTGCACGTGAACATGGACGGGGGTAACCAGAATCAAGGCGGCGGAAAGGGTGGGAAGAATGGCGGTGGTAACCAAACTCAAGGTGGTGGAAAGGGTGGCAAGAATGGTGGTGGACAGCCTAATGGAGGTGGAAATGGTGGCCAAAACAAGAATGGTAATAATGGTAATGGTGGTGCAAATGGTAACAATATTAATGTTAATGGGGCCAAAAAAGGTGGAATGAATGATGGTATTCATGGCATGCCTAACGTGATGGCTATGAATGCCCCTGGCAGTGCGGGCCAGATGGGGAATATGACCATGGGCCAAATGGGCCAGATGGGTAATCTCCCAATGGGCCAAATGGGTAATTTACCAGCTGTCCCGGGCCTACCCGCCTCGATGAATGGTGGTGGTGGTGGTGGCCGCGGCGCCGGATACTTCCAAGGTGCTGGCCCCGAGATGATGGCCGGCAACCCTCATTACCAGCAACAATTGGCAGCAATGATGATGAACCAGCAACGTGCAAACGGGAATGAGAGGTTTCAACCAATGATGTATGCCCGGCCTCCGCCTGCAGTCAATTACATGCCTCCATATCAACCTTATCCGTACCCCCCTCCCCCAGGCGACCGCGCCGATCAATACTCGATGTTCAGTGATGAAAATACTTCAAGCTGCAATGTGATGTGAGTCGGTACCTGAATTTCCGATTCTCGAGCAACGATAGTGCTTGGTAGTGTTTTCATGACTTACTAGTCCCGATGCCATGATATACATGGAGTTGGCTTTACTTTGATTCTTGTTTTTCACTTTTGAATCCTAAGTTTAGTTCAGTTTTTCATCATAGGGAGTATTATCATAGATAATATAATATTAAAGTTTAAAGTTTTAGAAAATGAGATGCAAGTTGGAGATGGATGGATGGTGCTGGTTTTGCTCATGAGATGTTTATATTTGTGTTTATATTTTGGAAAATGAAATAAGTTTCAAGAATGGGATTTAATGGAAACAATGCCAATATCTTACTTAATCTTGATTACTGATATTTTATTTGATACGCAGTATTGGACAAGTCTGAACAAAGCTGGGAAAGGCATCGTTACCATGAACAATACATTATCTTTATTATGCTAATCACTTTACAAAACATTACAACTTTTATTATTGATAATTAAAGAAACAAAATTAACATGGCTTGTGACTTTTACATTTATGTTGTCCTCCACGGTGGGGTACAAATTTCATTTAACCTTAGCTTGAACAGATGGGCTATGGACCGACCCACCTACTAATTAATTTATAAACAAGAATGTGAATATTATTGGTCTTCGTGTTTTACCATATCTATGCATGTGGTAAGTACTTTTTGGTAATAATATAAAGATAGATTATTTAGGATTAGGATTAGGCTAGGCAAGGGCCCTGACAAGTTCGACTAAGAAAATATTGAAGTGGAGAATTTACTAACTGAATTTATTAACTTAAAATTATGCTGGATTGCATTCACTATAAGAAGTTGACTTAAAGAAATATTATAAAAGCTAACCAGAATGATCAATTTGAAATCAAGAATAAGTTAATAGACTTTTAGATAGATATAGACCTTATATTTAACTCGAGGCACTAATCCCAAGAAGAAAAATTGGTCCAACTTAGGTATAGTTCAGTGAAAATATATCTACAGTCACTTAAGTTTCAACAAATCTCAATGGACCACTATAGACCAATATGTTGTAATTGGGACAATGTTAGTCTCAATTTTAATTTTAAATTTCTTTGTTTTCTCGCTTAGCCATCCTTTTTTTCCTTTATAAGGTTGTCTTCGTCTTTTTGTGCAATTTTCAAGCGTGTGTGTGTGTGTATATATATATATATATATATATATATATATATATA